AAGCTATTTCCAAACGAGATTTATACACGTATAACACGTAATGTACGACGTTGCATTTGCGTTGAATCCTTTCAAATGTTGTTTTATCTGCGATTTTATACCCTGCCTCCCTTTCATAAATTGTTTCACGAATTGCTGTCAATTGCTGTTGGTATATACAAAATGCAAGAGCGGAGAAAAAAAGGAAAAAAGAATAAAGAATGTATGAAGAAGGTAAGAAGGAGATGTATACAACGTGTCCCCCCTCAAAAAAGTCTTATCTTGTTGCAGCATCAGGGCTTATTTTTATTTAAATTTTGACACGGTGATATAATAAATTTACACTTAAAATTTACACTACGTACTGCTACGTGACTCTTCCTTTTTTCCTTTTTTCGCTTTTCGAACACAAAGAGAATTACATTTCGGAGGAAGGAACAAAGTAAAAAACGCGACGAAACGCACCTCGTCTAAATTAATATCTCGCCGGCTAATTTATACCCGCCAGATATACCATAAATATTTAAATCATAATTACGTTTAATAAATATTTAACACCTTCCCTAAACATTTATGCATTGCGCGCGCGCAGAATGTGGCTGCCCCCCCCCCCATCGCCGTAAATTCGAATTTGCCGCCTATTAGATCCGCGTTATGGAACACGTGTCGTTAAAATACACGTAAGTACGTAAAAATTCGTCGAGACAGCAATTTAAATTCCCTCGTTCCATTCCCTCCCCGGATTTATCACGGTTCATCGCCGCGAAGAGAGAGCGTTTTGTACAACGACGACGGAAAAGTTTCGATACGATAATTTTTACTTTCCAACTCCTCGTATTCTTCGAACATCATTTTCTCTTCCCGCTCGACGAAATTATCGGGGAGAGAAGTTTCGAGATCCAAAGTACGGATGCGAAGAATATACGTGTCGGTGTAACATTGTGCTGTACGATATTCGAATGGAAGAAAACGTTGGAGGAAAATTTCGACCAATCCACTCGGAGGACGATTGGAAGGAAACTGGCCAGAAAAATCAGACGTTCCATCGCATTTCGATCTGTCGCGCTTCCGCTATTCTGTGTGTGGAATAATTGGAATAAATAACGACGGTGGATGATATTTCTCTATTAACGTATATACCTTTCGTCACAATTATCTCGTATTTTTGAAAACGGCAATTCATTTCATTTCGTTTCTGTCTATAGATGTTATAATAAGGAAACTGGCCACTGTGTATGTGTGTGTGCGTATTGGAATAAATAATTACAGTGGATGATATTTTTCTATTAACATATACCTTTCGTCACAATTATCGAGCTATCTCGTATTTTTCAAAACGGCAATTCATTTCATTTCGTTTCTGTCTATAGATGTTGTAATAAGGAAACTGGCCACTGTGTGTGTGCGTATTGGAACAAATAACTACAGTGGATGATATTTTTCTATTAACATATACCTTTCGTTAGAATTATCTCGTATTTTTCAAAACGGCAATTCATTTCATTTTGTTTCTATATATATATGTGTATATAGTTGTTATAATAAATCTCGCATCATACAGCGGTACGTTGGCAGTGTAGCGTATTTCACAGCGAATTTATTGGAAGCCGTGTAATAAATAACGGGCGGGAAGTGTACGCCTCGTTTCCTTGTTTCGTTTAATCCAAGAACTGGAACGAGATGGAACGTTTTCGATAGGGATCTTTCCTTATCTAAATAACGCGTTTTTTTTTATCAATATCCTTCGTTGGTGCGTTGGTAAAGGCGGGAAAATAAAATATCGTGCGATATTTTTTTTTTTTTTATCGAGATTTTTATTATACTTGAATAAATAATCGAAAATTGGATCGAGAATCGTTTATTACGCTTCGTTTTGAATAAAACGTCCTCGCGATGAAATTATCGCTCCTCGAATTTTCCTCCTTCGATTCCGGAATACTGGCTTCGAGGACAAATTTATCTACCACCGTGCAATAAACATCGTTGGAAAGAAAAGAGTGCAATCCCCTTTCTTCCATTTTGTCTCGAGCAAAGAAACTTTCATTAGACGGTTCGTTGTTAAAAAAAAAAGAAAAAAGGAAAGGAAGGAAAAGGCTAGATTAATTCTCATACTAATTTTAAATGAAATTTTCAAAGTAACGAGAGAACTAATAACTCGTTTCGAACACGTAGTTTATGCGCGCCCTCACAAATTGCCATTTCCGAAGAAATAGACTCGGACAATTTGTCACAGATTTCATCGACAGATTTTCTATTAACGTAACTTTTCATCACACCGTGTTAATCGTATTTCGTTCATCTCGCTCGCAACATCGGCAATTACACCTCCCCCCCCCCCTCCCTCTCTCTCCCTGCACAAATTCTCCCAACCGTTGCACGATTAATTCTCGATTAAAAGAAATAATACGGCGAAGAAAAGGAGAAGAGGAAGAGAAAAGAAATATTCAGAACGATCGCGGGCCCCAAATTTCGTTTCAAATAATAAACGAATAATCGTGGTATAATTTTCCATTTTGTTGATTTTCGTCGAACGAACGGCATCTGTCAAAAGGGGAACAAGGTTGACAAACCAGAACCGAACAAACCACGATTATTAATTAACTCTACGAACATCGAACAAACTTGATCGCAAGAAAGGAATCGAGATGGGATCTCGATCGAGAAATTCGTATTCGTTATGCGATTATCTCGATTTTCGTTGGGAAATGCAATAGGAACGATTAGGTGGATGCTAAGGCAACATTGCTCGAGCGACCGCACGATGAAACGCGCCAGCGGCAATTAAACACCGTTTAAGGTCAGGCACGTGGAAAATGAACGAGAGGATGACCAATCGCGATTGCCGTTGTCAGGAAAGCCGCCATTCCTCGAATGCCATTCCCCCCCTCGCCAAGAGGAGGGCCCCTCCTTCCCTCCACGCCGCCATTTTAGCCGCCAGTCCGAAGCGCGAGTGGATGGACGAAAACTTCTCCTTTTGAATTGGATAAAGATTGACACCGAATTAGAACCGACGCGAGGAGAACAAGGTTTGGTGGAACAACGTCGCGTTCGATCTCGAAAGCGATGGAGAAGAGAATTTACGGGAGCGCACGCGCACACGTGTGACGTGATTCCATTGCACGTGGGTTAATAGAGTGACGGGTCAGTTAATAGTTAGATTTATGGCACGATTTTGCCCTCCTCCCCTTCGTTTAACGAAGTTGACGATATAATGGCGCCGCTATTTCACGAATGGCCGATGAATTACTCGAAAAAAAAAAAAAAAGAGGAATCTTTTCCACCACGGTTGATCGATAAAGAAACTGAAGAGAGAGAATGTCCTCGGGGACGCTTCGAAAATTCGTTCTCGAATCGTTGCGATGTACAAAGGAAGAGAAGGAAGGGAGGCAAGGTAGAATGTTTGGGTGTACGTTGGAACAAGCGCGTTCACGGCTCGCACGATCGGGATGGCCGCGGCGCCGATTGATCGACGAGTTCGTTTCGGATTCCCGGCGAAAAGCACGGGAACCGACAGTTGTGTTGATCGATTTCGATCCGCACGCGCACCCAAAGGGTTATATACCACGTGTCCACCATTTTTTCTTCTCTTTTTTCTTTTTCCCCACCACTTACGCTGATTGCTAAAAGTTATCGCGAGAATTAATCGGCGTCTAATCTCTCCTGGCCAGGAGACAATCGCCGATTCCAACACTCTTCCATTTTCGTTAATGGAGAGAGAGAGAGGGAGGGAGGAGGAAGATCGAGTCTCTGTCTATTTTTGGGAAAGTAGTATTTTCGATGCGCTTTGATGTTCAATTCATCGAGATGAATCGTTGAATGGAAATTGATGATGGAATGGATTCCAATTCCATTACCTATCATTATGCGTTTGTTCATCGAAATTTGTTCGATCGCGATATCAAAGAAGAAAAAGCCTTTTTCTCACGTTTAAATGTTTAGTCGATCGAAATATTTGCTCAATTATTTAGATAGGATATAATAATAATAATAATAATAATAATAATAATCATCGGTTTAATTAACGATCGAATTTAATTATCAATTAGATTATTAATTCGCTATTAAAATTCTCATTGTCGCGAAATTAATGTTTGAGTTCATTCCCAGATTTATCTATTAATCAGCTTTGATTGTTAAATTAATATATATTTCGATATAACAGCGAATAGAAGGTAATTAAATTTCGATTAGAAATTGACCGGTGGTCGATGATGTGAGTCAAGTACAAAAATCGAACGACGCGTTTCTGAAAATCAGATCTCTCTCTCTCTCTCTTCTTTTTCTCTTATATTTTGATATAAAATCATTATTTTCACAATTTCACAAAAGATGCATCTATTTCTCCCTATTCGAAGGATTATTCAGAAATTCTAGAGGAACGTAATCGAAGAAACTGCAAACTGATACGGTTGTTTCGACGAAAGAATCTCGACTTTTAATTACACGTCTCGTTTAATATTTCAGCGTAACGTAAAGGCAACAATACGTAAAAAAAAAGCAATACGTAAATTAAGTCGTCGGTTGGAAATCTCGGGAAGGAAGTTGTTTGTTGCGTTAAAGAATTAAAAAAAAAAAAAAACGGTCGATCCTTCTTTTTCTCGAAAAGGGAAAATAACAATTTTGGACGGATTGATTTCGTTCTGAACGCGGAGATATTTTCCCAATTAAAGCGGATCCGTCCGATAAAATTTCACCCGCTTTTTCCCGTATTTGCGAACGTTTCCAGCCTCCCTGTAGCTCGATCCGTGGCTCGCTTTACTTATTATTGAAAAGCGTTAAACACGTGATCGACGTGTTTAAACGAATCATTCATTTTTCGCTTATCGACGTACCGGTTTCGATACGCGTAACAATTTTTCAACTCTCGATATTTCAACCCCCGTTTTCTCCGATTCCAACCATCGATCACGTACCTCCTCTCCTCTCTCCCTCGTGATTACCGAATTCATTTGTATCTCGTAACCATAAGAGAAGGGGAGAGAGAGAGAGAGAGAGAGGGGGCGATGAACAGAGAGACTTACTCGTTGGCCGCGTTGGACGTATGATACAAGTTGAGGTCGTGGAATACCAATTGGACTCGTTCCTTCCCCGCCCCTGGAACTCGTATGTACAGTGAGTCCTCGGTGGATAAGGATTCGGGTATCCGGGCGACGTGACCACACCCGTCTTCGTCGTGTCGCTGTTGAAAACGATATCGCACAGTGACGCTGCAACACAAATGATGGAACGATTATGGATTAACGATAAAACCTTTGCTCCTTTCTTCGATCTAATCTGAAATTTTCGACGGTTATCATCATCACGCTCGTGCATTCAACGTAGGCGTATAACTCTGGCAAATATATTTTCAAAGAGAGTCGTAAATTTCGCGAGCATAAACAGACGACTGTTTGCAGGATCATCGTGATATCGCGGAAATTCACGAGCGTCTTCAATATATATACACATTGCGTCTGGAAGAAGATATGCGAAAGGAGGAGGGAATTTTTCTTGTATTTTTTTTTAAATTTACACAGTTGGAGGATATAGATTGTTTCGCAATTTTAATTAATTGGCTTGGCGTTAATTACCGGGATACAAAGAGTATTAATTTATTGTCCGTCTGGTTCATTGCGTTGTTTGCGTAATTAGTTGGCTGCTACTCGACGCGTGAAACGTAGACGCGCTCAAAGGCGTGCCACGAATTGCACACGCGTCGCCGCGAGAATTGTTTCGATGGCTGATGCACAATTTTCACGTGACGGTGGTTCCATCCCACTTATTCGATCGATACAAAAATTTCGAGCGAAAATTTTGTGAACCGAGAGGAAAAAAGAAAGGAGAAGGAAAGAAGGCATCGAAAAAACACTTTATTCCATTCCATTATCGAGAGAGTAAACCGACACGACAAAGATTTACCGTGCGTGGAAAGCGAAAGGGCGAAGTGTTATCCACGACGACTCATGAATGTTGCATAACTGCATCACAGTTCTACAGTATCGAGATTATTAGCATATCGAAAATATTGCTCGTACTACGAGCTTCCCCTTCCCCCTTTAACGCGATCGTTGGAAACGCAACGCGCTTCTTTCTCAGAAGGAGACGAAAGAAGGATTTTCGTGGATAACAAATAAACGTTTATTGTTAACCCATCGACGAAGAAGAAATAACAGAGAGAGAGCTCTGCCAAGCTGAAATAAGTGAAAATATATTTACATCCGGTGACGAAAAAAATTGCACGATAACCGCCGGTTAGTCGCCGACTTGCTGCCGTTTCGCTTCGTTGGCGGTCAATCCTCGCGGTAATGGAGGAGAATCGGCATAAGCTTGGCCGTGCGACACTGGTCGACGAAACAAAAACGCGAGAATTCTTTGAGCCTTCCCTTCTTCCTCGCAAAAACACGACAAGTTTTCAGAATGTTCTCTCCGTTCAATAATCGTTTTAATTCGCTTTATGGGTCTCCCATGGAAAGATCGTGCGACTCGAACAGCTCGTTTCACCTCCAACACTCGCCCTCAGAAATTCGGGCCAGTTTCTCTCCTCTTCTGGCTGGCCCTCCTCTGTGCTTGCCCTCCCTACCCGTAAGAAAGGAAGGAAGGAAGCTTTGGGGAAAAGAAAGAGAAATAGGAGAAGGGAAAAGGAGAGAGGGGAGGACGCTTGTTTACCGGGCATTCATTATTTAGGGGTGGGGTGGGGGGCTTATCGACTTTTGAACACTCGGCTTATACGGAGGGAGGGAGAGAGCGGGGTAAACGTTTTAATTTGCATTCATGAGCCGGGCTGGCAAAATTCTTAGGAGACCGCGTTCAAAAGTATTCCAAGTACGTCTTCTCTACGGTTATATTCGAAGGGACGAATTCACTTATGACGATCGATGCGTCTACTTTCCAAGAATATGGCCTCCCTACCTGGTTAAATCTAATGTATTCGTCGAGTAGCCGATCCGGACCAGGGGGGAGAGGAGGCGGTTTTCGTCGAGCGAAAACTCGAGATCTCGTTCGCTCGCTTTATCCTCGAGATTGATCAACGTGTAGAAACACGTTTGTAGCGAAACGAGGGGGAGACGATGCTTTTTTTTCCTCTTTTTTTTCCAACGCTTCCTTCTTTCTCTCTATCGTTTCAGTTTACAAAAGAACTATCGTATCGTTTGTTATCCAGGGAAGAACGAGTGTAAGCTAATAATCCTACGTGGATCGATCTCGGTTCGCAATTCGAGTTGAAAATTTTTCTCGCTTTTGTCTCCCGCGGAGATCCTGGATTCGGTGAGGCGAGAGATAAAAATATCGAGACGATTTTTTCCTTTTCTAACGCTAAATTCTTTTCGTATTTTTGAAAATGGGTGAAAAATTATCCAAGATGAGTATGTTTATTCACGGAGAAATATTGGATCCTGAAACAACGTCTGAAACGTGGCTACTTTCTTTCGACCGCGTTGTATTCGCTATTCGTTTATCCGTAAAAACGGATCGAACTTTTCGTATAGCGCGCCATTATTAATGGAATATTATCGATGGCGAAATCGCGTGGCGTTTAATCGGATTAATGCCAGATTAAACGCCCATATTTACCGATATTATTTGCGCGTCTCCTTTTTTCAAAATTTCACAATCGCGTTTTCCACCTTTAAACAATTTTCGTTTTTAAATTTCCTTTTATTATTCCATCCTTTTCCCGCACCTTCGATCCTCTTCTTTTTTTTTTTTAATCGCACGATTCGAGAATATTGAAACAAAAGGGAGAAGGTAGAAAGAGAGATTGTCCGATCGGAAATTATATCTCGGAGATACCTGGTCGCGATTAATTCCACGCCCGCAATCGAATCTTGGCACGGCGCGAAGGGCTAATTAAAATCTCGTTGGTCGAAATTTTCACGCACATTTCCCCACCAATCCCTGTTTCTCGAAATTTAATCGGGCTTCATTCTCGTTTCACGCGTTCCCTTAAAACTCGTGCTACGCGAAATTTCAGTTTATACCAGTCAGTTTCCAGTTGGAACCTTGTCAACTATCGCCGCCAGCCAACCCACCTCCACCTCCCCTCCCAATCTCGCGCGTTGAAAAAGAAAGTTTCGAAAACCGAATTCGAATTTCTCCTCTCTCGGGATATTTCGAGAACTCTTGCGTTGCGCGATGGCGGCGTCCAATTGTTTCGAGCACGTTTCCCGTCGCCTGAAAAAAGCCTGACCGTGAAAAGGAAAACGTCGTTGACGATCGAATCCGCCGATTAAACGGCGCGTTTAATTAACCGAGGACGGCCGAGTCAGCAACGAGCGCTGTATCGATAATTTATTATACCCCGAAGTGGGGGGGGGGGATGGTCCGAAGTTTGCCGAAATTAATTCGAAACGCCAAGTAACCGGCCGAGTTAGACGTAATTCCGTGGATTCGGAGCTTACGTATCCCTCCTCTTCGTGTCCGTTTATTACGCTCGGCGGAATCGCCGTCGTCGCCGCGGTGAATATCCTGTTCCGTTTCATATTTTCTTGCCGATCTCTGCATTATTCACGCCGCGCTTTCCCGCGAGAGAGAGAGAGAATCATCTCTGTGTGTGTTTTGTTTTTTCCATTCGACCGACCGGGGAAACGGAAATCCCCGCCGCTTCTTGCCAGACGGGTATTTGTCAACGAGATTTCTATCGATGTTTAAGAATTCGAGGAATGGCGGAGGGGGGAGGCGAAAAGATCTGGATGGAGACGAAAATAGTATAGGGAGATGGCATGAAAAATTGTTGTCGATGTGTGTTGATATAAAGGAAGTTGGAGGAGATTTTTAAGAAGGGAGAAAGATTCTCGTGTAGATATTTCGAATCGACGAGTTTCACTTCGTTCGTATTTCGACTGTTTAATCCGAGTTTATTTTTATATTGTAATCGCGAGTAATTCGAGTTCGCCTCGCGGGGACGGAATGACGAAGCGAAAATAACTTGAATTCGGAAGAAGCTGGAACGGCGTAATTTTTAATTTCGCGAGAATACGTGAGACATATCGCGTAATTAACACGTTAACGAAGCGTGCATGGACAGAGAGAAAATTTGCGTTATCGCGCCACTTAATTGCCGACCAAAAATGCGACTGCGTGTCTGTCTCCTCCTCCCAATAAAATTGTCGTATATTCCATTCACGCATAACGGAACAAATTGCCTCAAAGTATGATGCAAATGTAATTATTTCACCTTACAAAGCCGTCCCTGGACGTCGACCTGGTAACGATATCCAGGAAATTTAATTGAACCTACCTCCCCTCCTCTCTCTCTTCCCACCCGTTTCGAATTCTCACGATTTCATTCTCATTTTCGAATCATCTTCTCATTATTCGTGGACGAAAGAAAAAAAAAATTTGTTTCGCGTTCCACGCGGCAAGACAATTAGGGGGAGGGAAGGGAGCGGAAGTAAGAAGATTCGAATTTGAATGGATAAGTAAATTTTTCGGTTCACGAGTGTGCAGGGAGGAGGGAAGCGTGAAACAAATTTATCCAATATGTCCGCCGCCCTATCTCAGTGGTTCAAGGTGTTATATAATTTCCGATACGGGGGCCGCGCCCCCCCTCCCCTCCCCTCCCCGTTCCCGCAGGCCTGTTTCATTGTGTTTCGCGAATTTCCATTTTACGGTCTCTTGACTTAAACCGATTAACCGGTGAACTCTCCGGTATAACGGTATCTCGTTTCATTAACGTTGTTAACTTGGTCTCAAAATGCTTTCTAGCTCGTGTTTGGTGCCTCTACCTCTCTCTCTCTCTCACTCTGTGGTGCGGACGAACGAGAAGAGAAGATTGGCCGGTTCTCGTCAACGGGAAAATAAAGCATCAACTCGCGCGAAAGATTATCCGTCAATCTTGCGATCTACCATCTTCCCACCTTATTATTAATCGATCTTTGACGCATCTTTCACGCTCTTGAAACGAAGTTAAAACGCACGTTTCCTTTCCTCTTCCCCCTTTTTCGTATCTTTTAATTTTCTCTCTCGATCGAAGCACACGGGATCATCGCTTCGATTCGATAACTTGTTGCATTAATCGTCGTAACGAGGCTTCGAAAGTTTTTGAAATCGAAAGTTTATTCAGTTTAGAAGCAAGGAACAAAATGTTGAGAGTGTTACCCTTGAACACTTGAGTCGTAGAAAGCGTATCCTTTCCAACGACGCGTTTCGTCGAATTGTATTTTCGAGAATGGGAAAAAGTTGGTTGTTTCGATGATTATTGTGTTTGGAAGAATCGATTAATTATTTCGTT